TGCGTCGCACCTGTCATACAAAGACAAGATGAGAAGCAGAATAAACACAATATGACAATTACAAAAACAGAAAGAGTTTGATCACAGTAAGATAAAACATTAAGTGTTTTGTCTTTAGTAAATGCAGCTAGCCTCAGATTAGCATGTGAAGAGATATTTTAATTGGAGTAAAATAAGTCAGGTGATGTATGTATAACATGCCTTATTTGAAGTAACGTAATAACTACAACAAACATACCTATATTATCGCGAACTGTGATATTTTCCTAAACCTCACAAGTAGTTTTGTTTGATTTCAAAAGAATTTGGGAATGAGAGCATGATGTAGCAGTTTAGCTACATCTACAATACCAAGGCGCTACGCTAACGGCTATTCACAAACACATAGGTTATTACAATACAAATAGTATGTATTCATTCTGATAGAGAGAGAGAGAGAGAGAGAGAGAGAGAGAGAGAGAGAGAGAGAGAGGCAGAAAAGTTGGTTGATGTATTTTCAAACTTTAGACGGAGATGTTTCCCCACACTTTCACTCCTTATGCCAAACTAAGCTAAGCTAAGCTAAGCTAAACTAAGCTAAGCTGACTGGACTGCAGCTCAAGTCTTCTTCTCTTTCCCTTACAACAAAGCTTATACCATAAAAAGTGTAACTATATTCAGAGGATGAAGACGAATCAGCTTCCGAGTGTGCTTCAGTTTTTAAAGACTAAACACAAGTTACATACGGGAGGCTTTATCGATAAAAATGTAATGTAAAAAAATTGATTATTGGAAACGGCTGATATTCAAACATAATTATCAACGTGTCATTTCTCATAATTCACTGTAATTTAAACAAAAGCAAAAGCGTTGTTGTGTCAGGGGTGTTGATTCCCTGCTGCACACACACTTCCTGTTCACAGGGTGTGTGCAGCTTCACACTCTCAATGATCAGAAAACACACTTCTTCTCAGACGGACGTGTGTTTTCTCGTTAGTACTTCCTGTCTGGGTGTAGTAGAGCCAGCTGCAGAGACGCAGGAAACAAGGTACGAATCGTCATCTGTCTTTATTCAAAGGTATCAAACAATTCATTAAAATCAGTAAATACCTTTTAAACATCAGCTGTGAAGAGCTGGTTGATTGTTAGACGAAACAGACGATGTTGATTTTTGTTTATTGTGGAGATGAAGCCGGGGTGACGGAGCATAACATTAAAACGTCTTTTATTCAGAATTTCCTCTTACAGTTTGTTTTTCAATTGACCTTTCATATTAAGTTTGCTTTTTTGCTCATTTTAGTTGCATAAAATGTGTTTTTGTTATTCAAGATGACCCACTAATTACAATAATACATCCTGTATTTATTGTAAATTGGCCCTTAAATAGTGTTGTATTTGTCAGATAGGTTATAGATTTTTTTTATCTTTACGGTCAACTTGTATATTTTCTACTTTTTCAATGCTGTTTTATTTCTATTTTGAGATGTTTTACATTTTAGAATTGTTTATTTCTACTCTTTTAATTTCCTTGTCTTTTATGCTGCTGAAACGCAAACATTTCCCAATTTAGGATCAATAAAGTCCATCTTATCTTACATAACACATACAGTAACTTTATTCCTATTCAAAAACAAAAAGTAACTGAGCAGCAGCAATACATATAGTGACTGTCACAACCACAACAACAACAACAACAACAGGAAAAGGAAGTCTATTGACAGTTTGGTACCACTTTACAATAAGACTACCCTTATAAAGGATTCATAAAGGGTTGATAATTAGGTTATGAATTAGGTTGTAAACACTTTATTAATCATTAAGAACCATTTATAAACCAGTTCTAACATACATACATCAACACAGGATAACTATTTGGCAAGATGACTAAGCCTTATATTGGCTACTTACAGTACGGATAAATGTGGGCGCACTATTTGGCAAGATGACTAAGCCTTATATTGGCTACCTACAGTACGGATAAATGTGGGCTCACTATTTGGCAAGATGACTAAGCCTTATATTGGCTACTTACAGTACGGATAAATGTGGGCTCACTATTTGGCAAGATGACTAAGCCTTATATTGGCTACCTAGCTTACTTCGTCTTCTTCATCTGCCAGCATCCTTGGTATCTGTTGTTCACTGAGTTGATTCCCCCCATCCATCTTGATGTTTCTTGGCATCTCTTTATGACCATTTATTTATGAGTTACTAACATTTATAGTTGCCAAAAGGGAGCCTTATTGTAAAGTGTAAAACACATTCCCATTTATTAATGAGTTAATACCATTTCTAATAAGACTTAGCAGTACAGATAAATATGGGCTCACTATTAGGCAAGATGACTAAGCCTTATATTGGCTACTTACAGTACAGATAAATATGGGCTCACTATTTGGCAAGATGACTAAGCCTTATATTGGCTACTTAGCGAGAATCCACTCAGTGAGCAACAGACACCAAGGATGCTGGCTGATGAAGAAGACGAAGTAAGCTAGGTAGCCAATATAAGGCTTAGCAGTACAGATACATGGGGGCTCACTATTTGGCAAGATGACTAAGCCTTATATTGGCTACTTACAGTACAGATAAATGTGGGCTCACTATTTGGCAAGATGACTAAGCCTTATATTGGCTACTTAGCGAGAATCCACTCAGTGAGCAACAGACACCAAGGATGCTGGCTGATGAAGAAGACGAAGTAAGCTAGGTAGCCAATATAAGGCTTAGCAGTACAGATACATGGGGGCTCACTATTTGGCAAGATGACTAAGCCTTATATTGGCTACTTACAGTACAGATAAATGTGGGCTCACTATTTGGCAAGCAACCGGTCACAGTTGCCCTGTTTATCTCATGTCTTATAAAAGCTTATTAATGATTTATAAAGTGTTCACAACCTAATTAATAAAGGTATTACAAACTATTCGTAAACCCTTTATACGGGTAGTCTTATTGTAAAGTGGTACCGACAGTTTTTACTAGAGTTGAAAATAGGAAAAATTAATAATTTATCATTTGATAGCTTCAAACTTATTACATCTAACAACAACTATTGTTTACAACAAAACAACTCTCCTCAGATGTCCTGTGATCTTTTCTAGCACAGACATCGTAAACATGTTTTTGCTAATTGCATTTTTGTTGGATTTGTTCGAAGATGTCCAAACTGTGGACGCCATGTTTGTCTGTTTTCTCACTTTTATATCTTCTTCTTCCTCTGGTGTTCGACTGCAGATCGCAATGATCTTTGACCTTTAATCTCTTCTCTTTTTGAGATGCATGTATTTTGACGCATGGTCCTTGTTCAGAAAAGATATATAATAATGAAAAACTGCATTAAAATAAACCCTTTTCTTTGAGTTAGTTATGACTCTGCTCTCTTGTCTCCAGCAGCCAAACTTTCCTTTATCTTCTCCCTCTTCGTCCTCTTCGTCCTCTTCTTCCTCTTCTACAAACCACCTCCTGCTCTTGACTGATAACATTTATATGACAAACTGCATTAAGAGAAACCTTTTTTCTTGAAGTTTCTGAGTTATTTATGTATTTCTTTTTAAAAATATTCTTGTTTATTGAATAATTTTATTAATTTTATATATTTTATCGTATTTATTGGTTTTTGTCTTGCTTTGTTTTACTCAGAGGAATCACTATTTATTTTATTGTGTTTTATTATTTATTATCATACCTGTTGCCTGCTGTCTCTTAAAGTGTTCACGTGTTATATCATGTTGCTGCTTATTGTTCTTGTTCTGTTTTAAATTGTGTGTTTCTGTATATATCTAATACTTCTCTCTTTCCTTCTTCTTCTTCCTCTTCTGCTAACCACCTCTCCTGCTCCTCTCCATGGGACTGTGTTCCTCCTCCTAACGGTTACAGTCTTTATGAAAACACATGTTTCTTGACGTTTCTTTGAGTTTCTGAGTTATTTATGACTCTTCTCTCTTGTCTCCAGCAGCCAAGCTTTCCTTTATCCTCTTCCTCTTCTACAAACTAACTTTCCTGCTCTTTACTGATAACATTTTTATGAAAAACTGCATTAAAACTAGGGATGCTCCGATCGCCAATTTTGGGGCGATCGGAATTAAATCTTCCATTTAAAGTGATGTTTAAAACTCAGTTAATGCTCATTCACTGGAGCTTCCACAAACAATCAACTTCATTATTACATTCAAATGAAGTTCATTATTCAAGTTTACATTCACTTTGGAGAAGAACAAGGGAGGAGAGAAGAAGAGCATGAGAAGACAGAAGAGAGAAAGAGAGATGGAGAACGAGAGAGAGGGGGAGAGAGAGAGAGAGGAGGCGAGAGAGCGAGAGAAGGGGAGAAGAGAGAGAGAGGAGAGAGAGAGAGAGAGAGAGGAGAAAGAGAGAGAGAGACGAGAAGGAGAGAGAGAGAGGATATCTCTCTCTCTCTCTCTCTCTCTCTCTCTCTCTCTCTCTCGTCTCTCTCTCTCTCTCTCTCTCTCTCTCTCTCTCTCTCCCTCTCTCTCTCTCCTGACAGCCCATCAGTATCTCCTGCAGCTCACTGATCCAGTAATGAGTGACCCGACAGTGAAGAATAAATATATGTATAACTATAGCTTGTTCCAGAGGTAGATAAAATAGCTAAGTGTGTTAGGTCTAACTCTTAATGTGTGTGTTCTGCTCACAGGTCCGTCACAGCGGGTGGAACTGCAGGATTTCTGCTTCACACACGTTGCATACCGCTATTTTATTGTCTTTTTCGGACACTTAAAATAATGCCAGACCGGTGAAGCCATTTTGGCGAGCTTGTTTTGCCGCGCACAGAGAAAAGTGTCATGTATTTTACGTCATGCGATCGGCTCTCGCGATCGGCATGTTTAGAGAGCACCGATCGATCGGTAGAGAGTGAGTATCGGCAGATCTCGATCGGTGACTGATCGATCGGAGCATCCCTAATTAAAACAACCTATTTTCTTCGAGTTTCTTTCCTGAGTAATTCCTGTAGATTCTTAACCCCCCCCCCCTCTCTCTTCTTCTCTTCTCTCCGTCTCCAGCAGCCAAGCGTCCGTCCTCAGCCTCCTCGCTGCCGGGCATTGTGGGTAGGATGATGTCGTCGGTAGAGCGTGGCGCCTCCTCTTCCTCCTGCACCTCCGTCAACACGCTCTCCTCCTCCGCCTCCTCCGTCTCCCTGCAGGACACCTCCCACTCCTCCTCTTCCTCCTCCTCCTCTTCCTCACTGCCATATGGCGCCGTGCCCACTTACAACTCTTCCTCCTCTTCCACGCCAAAGAGAAATGGATCCGATATCAGCCTGGACCTCACGCCCCTTGTTAGGCCTCATGGAGGAGGGGGAGGAGCTACTGCAGGAGGAGGCGGGGCTTGTGGAGCTCAGGTGATAGGGGAAGCCCCGCCCCCTGATGGAGCCGCCCTATTGGTCGAGGTGCCGTTGGTAGTTCCGCCCCGACAGCTGTCCCGATTGGATAGAGTCGTCTTGGAGATCGTGGAGACCGAACAGGCCTACGTCCGGGATCTGAAGAGCATCGTGGAGGTAAGAAACCACAGCTGGAAATAATGATACATCTATTTAGCATGTTTTAAAGGTCTCCTATCATGCAAAATACACTTTTAGATGTCTTTTAAACATAAATATGTGTCCCCGGTGTGTCAGAAAACACCTCTCTCACGGAGCTGATCCAGATTTGCTGCATCATGACGACAATACTAAAATGTGGGCGGGCTTTACACCCACGGGCCAATCAGAAACGTTGCTGTCAGAAACAATGAGACGTGTTCTGGACGTAATATGATCTGTGTTTACATTAGCATCGCTAACACTCAGAGCTAACCTGTACTGGAGAGAGTGTGTGTGAAGAAGCACCTTGTGGTAAACCTGAGAGAGAGAAAGAGTTTGAGCTCCATACTGTTTCAGAGAGAATCCTTGATGTGGTTTGGAACATGAGATGGAGTTTAGTCACGGCAGCATTTAGCTGAGTTTCTGCCGCATGGTTTTTCCACCACTCAACCAAATGAAAGGAGGTGTGTGTGTGTGTGTGTGTGTGTGTGTGTGTGTGTGTGTGTGTGTGTGTGTGTGTGTGTGTTTGTAGGCCAGCTGCAGGTAAGCTCGCCCAAAGGCATTCACACCTGGCCAGTAAATCTATGACTAGCTCCTCCCTAACACACACACACACACACTCTCACACACACACACACACACACACACACACACACACACACACACACAACACACACACACACACATACACGCACACACACACACACACACACACACACACACACACACACACACACACACCTCTGCCCACTATTGCACCGTAGATGGACAAACATTTTCAAAACTGACTCAGGTTTTAGAGACTTCCATTCATATTTGTTGGTTTAAAATATAATTATGATGATATTTAATCTGCCATAATGCAGGTGTGTTTTCCTCCACATGTTTTATGCAGATGTTTAATTTTGCAAGTGGACACGTTGCCTAACTTTGATTGTAAGTGATGCAAGTTCTTCTGTGAGTAAGAAAATGAACTTTTACAAAGGGAGGTTTGAATGGAAAAACGTTTTTGTGAGAATCTGCTGACTTAATGGTTTTATTGTGTGTGTGTGTGTGTGTGTGTGTGTGTGTGTGTGTGTGTGTGTGTGTGTGTGTGTGTGTGTGTGTGTGTGTGTGTCATCCATCACTGGCCCAGGTGCAGCCAGGCACTGTGTGTGTGTGTGTGTGTGTGTGTGTGTGTGTGTGTGTGTGTGTGTGTGTGTGGGTGTGTGTGTGTGTGTGTGTGTGTGTGTGTGTGTGTGTGTGTATGTGTGTGTGTCTTGGCAGAGGATGAAAGCGGCAGTAAATTCTGTCTTTTACTTCAAAAGGATGTTTCACACTCCTTTCTGACAGTTGAGGGCACACACACACACACACACACATTCTGAGCTGTCATCGTGGTTATCAGCTGTCTGTCAGTCTCTTCTTCTCTGACCTTCCTCGGAGGGCGGACCTTTCTCTCATCGCCACATCTTTCTTCTTCGTTGGTTAATCCCCCCCGACTCTCTCTCTCTGTGTTCACCCACACTCAGAGGTCATTGCCAAAAACACACAACTAGTAATAACCTCATACTCTTTTCATATATTCCTATTTATTTACAACAGTCTTACGATGATACAACAATAAGACCCCTAGTTAGGACCTAACACAACATAAAAGGTGTGTTTACCAACATCCTGATAGACAGAATTATAATCAGGTTATATTTAAGAAGGTTAGCTCTTAAAATGAGTTTGAATTACGTAAGTATGCATGCTGCTATTTCTAACTTCTCACTTCATTAACAGTGACACGATGTCCCGAGGAGGCTTCATACATATCAGAGACTTTGTGACTAAGGATTACATGATGTAATAAGTTAACGAGTGTGAGTGTCTGGAGCCTAAACACACTTCTTAGAGCAATGTTATTCATCACACATTTCAAACCTGCTGAAAATGCACTTACAATAGGTTTCTAGCGCCAAAATGACACCCCCCCTCGAATGCTGCCCTTATACGTGCGATTGTCCAATAGGTATGAAATTGGAGGAGTATATGCATCATGTGGAGAGGAAAACATAAGTCTATCGAAGCGAGATCGTAAACACAACAGGAAGTCAGATATTTGGGATTTTATAGCGTTTCTTTACCATTTGTGGTGCCAGACTCGCACAAACACCTCCTATAGATTTCATCTGATCAACCCTAACAACCAAAAGCCCAAATAAAGTATACAATCTGTTTCTGATGATAAGCATCCTCAGAGCATTGGTGCTTTAGTGCTTTTATACTCAGAGACAGGATAATGAGACTCTTTGAGACGTTTAAACTCCTGCCCTGATGTTCGGAGGAATACATCGGCACCTTTTCCTCTCCGTCGTTGTTCTGCTAACTCTTCTGGGTTTTTGGCGTAGAGGCATTGAAACTTTGCCACATGGACAGATGCAACCCGATGCAACAAAAAGGGCAAATTCAGCTGCAAAACTTTATGACACATTATCCAAAATCCAGTCTCTGTGGATTCACCAGACAGCGTGAGGAAGCAGAGAAACAATCCCAGAATTCCTCTCTCCTGATGGAAAGGAGGTCTGATGGATGATACGCGTGTGTATGTGTGTGTGTGTGTGTGTGTGTGTGTGGTGTGTGTGTGTGTGTGTGTGTGTGTGTGTGTGTGTGTGTGTGTGTGTGTGTGTGTGTGTGTGTGTGTGTGTGTGGTGTGTGTGTGTGTTTGTGTGTGTGTGTGTGTGTGTATGTCCTGTAATGTAAGCCCTCTCTCCTGCTGCTCTCTGCATTTGAGGTTTTGCTGAAGTCTGGTTTTGATTGAGGCTACATGCATGATGTCACGCTCACTGGGAATCTGAACCCACTGCCATAATAGGCCTGAGTGTGTGTGTGTGTGTGTGTGTGTGTGTGTGTGTGTGTGTGTGTGTGTGTGGTGTGTGTGTGTGTGTGTGTGTGTGTGTGTGTGAGAGAGAGAGAGAGAGAGAGAGAGAGAGAGAGAGAGAGAGAGAACAATATCAACACACTGACAGAGAACAGTTCCTCTCGCTGACTTTTAAACTTTTCTCCAGATTTCCTGATAAATCACTGAACTCTTTAAATTGAGTTTTCTTTCGCTGTTTTTTTTAAAGAGTTTTCTGGGAAATTGCTGAATTATGTGGAATTATGTATAAGTGGAACAATTTCATCTCATTTAGAGACTTTTTACTAAGAAAGAATAAAGTGATACATGAGATCTTGCAGCCAAGTGGGACAGGAAACCCAGAGGGGGGGGGGGGGGGGGGGGATGACGTGGGGAACAACCAGAAAGCCAGAAGTGGAGAAAAGATGGGGAGGAAGGAGGTGGGAGGAAGGAGGTGGGATTGAAGGAGGTGGGGAACAAGAAAGGGGGGAAACAGAGAGAGGGAGGGATGCACAACGTAAAGGCAAAGTGAAGTAGAGACGAGAAGTTGGAAAGGAAAAAGGAGGTGCAGAAAGAAGGACATGACGACGGGGAAGAATGTGAGGGAGGAGGGGGAGACGTTTGGGGAACAAGGAGGGAAACACAAAGAGGACAAGAAACATGGAGACGAATTAAAGAAATAAGTGTTGGGAGAGAAAGACGTTTGTTTCTGCTTCGACATTTCTTCCTTTCAGATCTTTAACCTGCAGCAGATGAGTTCTATCACCATGAGATACAACTGTGTCCATGCAGAGGGGAAGTGTGCAGCGGGGAAGTGTGAAGCGGGGAAGTGGAAAAGCGTGCAAATATAAAACGTGTCAATCGGCAAAATAAGAACAACTTGAGGCGTGTGGTGCAGTGGGTTGTGCGCTGGTGTTGGGATCAGGGGGTCACAGGTTCAAACCCCACTGCAGTCATCATGTCGTTGTGTCCCTGAGACACTTCACCCCAAAGTGCTCCTGTGGGGATTGCCCACAGTATTGAGTATGTTAGTCGCTTTGGATAAAAGCGACTAACAAGTGACATGTCATGTAATGATTAATGTGCAAAAAACAAATGTACACAATGTCAATCAATGAATTAAAGAGAGCAACATCCAGTTAGAAAACCAATTTGTAACTATTGATGTTGTGTTTTCTAAATTAACTTCTTTGCGTTTTGAGTGGCATTTAGTTCCTCTAAATAGGATAAAAGGCAGACATCTGTACGGCCACTATCTCCAACATATGGCAGGTTTCAAGATTCAAACATTCAATCGTTCTTCTGTCTTGTACATGACGAATAAGTCAACTACAGATAAGAGGTTAATGTTTTTGGGTGATCAATAAGTTAACGTTCCCTAAACATGTGTGGGAACTTAAAAAGTGGGGTTCAATAATAAAAGAACGTGGCTCTGTGGTGCAATGGACAGCGCATTGGACTTCTAGATATGCGCAGGAGAAGGTATTCAAAGGCTGTGGGTTCGTGTCCCACCAGAGTCGACATTTAAAGGTGTTCATAATTAAGATACATGAACCAACAGAAATGTCAATGGTTTATGTGATTATGTAGTCGGCAAACTCTGGTAAACTTTGATAGTACTTCAACTTCCACTCAAGTCCATTGAGACACACAAATGTACACTATGTCCATAATACTGATGTAGTAGTTTCGTTCAGTAGACTTGTTCATTTCTTTCCAAGGCAATAATCCAGGTTCTTTTTTAATTGTTTTTTAACCTTTGGAAGTCTGAAGCAAATCAAACAAGCTGTAAAAGCAACAACACATATAATACAATTTATAGAGATCAAATCTGCCAACAAAAAACATCATGTTTGTAACCAAACAAGTGGCTCTGTGGCGCAATGGACAGCGCATTGGACTTCTAGATATGCCCAGAAGGTATTCAAAGGTTGTGGGTTCGAGTCCCACCAGAGTCGACATTTATACCGATGTATGGGTATTTCAAAGTGCAGATCTCATTACTTGTATATGATGGCAAAGTAAAGAAGGTATAAAAACATGTGACCTAGCACGTGTCGTTACATTTCTAATAGTAGAATCTGTTGGGACTCGAACCTAAACTCAGGTCCACAGAGCCATAATCTCCTACAGCTGATGGTAATGGTGTCTGTTGTTCATCAGACTTTCCTTTGACATCTCAAAGGTAATGATCCTTTGTAGCTAAACATAAAATGAGCTGTAAAAGCAACACAGCAAATCACACATTTTCGATTCAAAACTGATGAAAAAAATCGATATCCTTAACCTGTTGAGTAGTTGGGCTCTGTGGCGCAATGGACAGCGCATTGGACTTCTAGATATGCCCAGGAGAAGGTATTCAAAGGCTGTGGGTTCGAGTCCCACCAGAGTCGACATTTAAAGGTTTATAAAAGTGTTCAAAATCAAAATACGTGAACCAACCAAAATGTCAATGGTTTATGTGATTATGGAGTCGGCAAACATTTGAACCTTCAAAGGTAGAATCTGCTGGGAATTGAACCTCCATTCAAGTCAATTGCTTCACAAAATATATGTTCATAAAACTGATGAAGTAGTTTTTCTGTCAGAAGCATATAACACAATTTCTAGAGATCAAATCTGCCAACAAAAAACCTCATGTTCGTGAACAAAAACGTGGCGCAATGGACAGCGCATTGGACTTCTAGATGTATAAGTTTATAAACTTGTTTACAATACAGGTATGTAATTGATTCCAAATCATGGTAAGGCAACACATGAATGTAATGATACATCAATGCTTTGCGTGAAATGTACATTGAAAAGAAGACTCTGCTCACATGCTCCACAGATGCCATTCTCTTCTGTAACACATTATAGATGCAGTCCTGTCTGTTCCTCATAACACTTGTAGTTTAGGGTCACGACAGGGTAAGATAATCATCTGCCAATCAGAGGGGCAGTGGTTCAATCCCCCCCCCCCCCGTCGTCAACATGAGAAACTATCCGTTGTTCAAGATGCTTATCTGCAAATTGCTCCCATAGGCATGTAAACAGTGAATGGATCACATCTCCAGCTTAGCTTTAACTCTCCCTCTTTGTGAAACACTTCATCCCTTCCCTTTCTTTAAGTCTTCCTCTTCCCTTCATCCAATGTGTTATCACAGTCTTAGTCTTGTTTGCATCTCTTCCTCATTCCTCCTGTCTCCTTCTCCTCTTCGTCTTCCTCTCACTCTCTCATTTCTCACTCATCTCCCGCTCTCTTTCTGTACTCTCTCTCTCTCCCTAGTGTGTTTCCTGCTGCCTTTAAAGGTGATGAATGTGGCCAAGGCCTCTCATTATATGCCTCATTATACACACACACACACACACACACACACACACACACACACACACACACACACACACACACACACACACACTGGATGCTTGTTTTTGTAGCCAATTTAGGGAAAAAACAGAAACGGAGAAGGAATGAGAGACGGACTTGTTTTTGCTTGCATGCAACACTGTACAGTATGTGTGTGAATGCATGTAGACAATGCATACATGGTATGAGGTTTTAAAAGCACACACACACACACACACACACACACACACACACACACACACACACACACACACACACACATGCCGGTTTTAGCCAGAAACATTCTCGAACTCAACAATTATGGTAAATGCACTTTGGTGTAATTGCTCCGTTCATTTTTTGGGCAGCGCATTTTCTGACCAGGAATCTGACAACTCATTTAATAAGCTGTGGGAGAGATGGTGGTGCAGCAGAGAGACAGTCAAATAAACAGATTGTTTTCAGTCTCATTGCCTTCTGATGAAGAATGCTCATCCATCAATACATTAGCGTTGTGCGAGTGGGTCTCCAGTTTCATTTCCATCCAGATTCTGTGCAAATTATTGGAGTTTCCACAAAAATAATGTGTGTTAAAACACTGTCAGAAAGGCTTGTGTCAACTGTCCTTAAATGTTGTTCTTAAGGCTTTTTTTGGAAAGCAAATTTGTCAAAATAGTATCACACAGGTTTCCTACGTATAAGACACACTTCATATAGGAAATGAAACCATTTTAGATTTTCTAGGCGACCAAATAGTCATAGTTTTATTCTTAAGGTTTCTATCTGTTTTTATTTTGCCGTTTTTTGACGGGTGTATCCTGGCTAAGGGAAGAACAGAGATGTTTTATAGAATAAGGTTTACTGAACAAACCATTTCACTTTAAAGGTGTGAAACCAGATGTAGAAAACAGCTGGAAACATTTTAGGGTTTTTAGGCGACCAAAATGTAACAACTAACTTTCATGAAGTGAAAACACAAACAGTGAAAGGGTTTGACAAAACACTATCAAGACCGTGGTAGCGACCTGTCAATCACAGGTAGCCCCGCCCTAAATCATAGGCTGCTTTATCGTCTATTTTACTCTAAATGGGACCATAATTGACTAAATGAACTTCATGCTGTATTGAAGAAGACTTGAAACTAGAGATTAAGACCAAATATTAATCGGAAAAACGTTAAATTAGGTAATCAAATCAAATCAAATCAAATCAAGGTTTATTTATAAAGCACATTTAAAAGCGATTTTTGGTCGGGCCAAAGTGCTGTACATGTAATAACTACAATCACATAAAAACACATTTCTATAATCACAATAAAAGACAATAAATTAAACAGATATTTAAAAAAAAACACAGGGAAAAGTCAGGAGTCGTGCTCCGCTCTGACTAAAAGGCCAGGGAGAAGAAGTGTGTTTTAAGAGTAGATATAAAAATCCCTAGGGTCTGGGCCGACCTCACATGGAGGGGCAGAGTGTTCCAGAGCCTAGGGCCAGCTGCTGCGAAGGCTCGGTGCCCTCGGGTTTTGAGCCTGGTCTTGGGCACTACCAGCAGCAGCTGGTCAGCAGACCTTAAAGCTCTGGCTGGGGTGTAGCGCTGGAGGAGTTCAGCTATATAGGCCGGAGCCAGCCCATAATTAATTTATAGTAATAAATCAAGTGAGAAGTATAGGGTCATTTTTTGATTTCTATTAATTATTCTCGCAACCAGTGGAGTCATAGTTTAATTGTTAAGGTTTCTTTATGTATTTATTTCGCCGTTTCTTGGCAAGTGTATCCTGAGTTAGACAAGAACAGAGACTAATGTATTTTGGTTGGTTGCATAACATTTCTGAACTGATTCCCTGATAGAAAAATAAATGCATAAGTGTTTAAACTTTAAAGTTTACCAGACTCCTGCATTAAAATCTGAACCAATGTCCTTAAAGTCATCAGATTACAGTTGAATAGTTTATTTAAAGCCCGCAGAGACACGTCATGATCCCAGTTTGAAGATGACTTCAGACTCAGATTTATTTCACTTTTGGCCGAGTTTCTGTCACTTTTGGCCGAACGTTCTGCTCTGAGCTCCTGTTCGGTTCAGTGTGTGTGTTCGGTGATGTGTGTGTGTGGTGATGTGTGTGTTCGGTTCAGTGTGTGTGTGTGGTGATGTGTGTGTGTGGTGATGTGTGTGTTTGGTGATGTGTGTGTTTGGTGATGTGTGTGTGTGGTGATGTGTGTGTTTGGTGATGTGTGTGTTTGGTGATGTGTGTGTTCGGTTCAGTGTGTGTGTGTGGTGATGTGTGTGTGTGGTGATGTGTGTGTGTTGGTGATGTGTGTGTTTGGTGATGTGTGTGTGTGGTGATGTGTGTGTTTGGTGATGTGTGTGTGTGGTGATGTGTGTGTTCGGTTCAGTGTGTGTGTGTGTGATGTGTGTGTGTGGTGATGTGTGTGTTTGGTGATGTGTGTGTTGTGTGTGTGTGTGTGTGGTGATGTGTGTGTTTGGTGATGTGTGTGTTTGGTGATGTGTGTGTTTCGGTTCAGTGTGTGTGTGGTGATGTGTGTGTGTGGTAATGTGTGTGTTTGGTGAGTGTGTGTTTGGTGATGTGTGTGTTTGGTGGTGTGTGTGTTTGGTTCAGTGTGTGTTTGGTTCAGTGTAAGTTTGCTGATGTGTGTGTTTGGTGATGTGTGTGTTTGGTGATGTGTGTGTTTGGTTCAGTGTGTGTGTTTGGTGATATGTGTGTTTGCTGATGTGTGTGTTTGGTTCAGTGTGTGTTTGCTGATGTGTGTGTTTGCTGATGTGTGTGTGTTTGATTCAGTGTGTGTTTGGTTCACTGTGTGTGTTTGCTGATGTGTTTCTAATAAATCATGTGTGATGATTTGAAACTGTCTCTCTCTCTGCTATTATCTCACCCCCCCCCCCCCCCCCCCAGGGAGGAAATGACCTCATGTGACTCTGACAGGATCGCATGATGGATTTTAGTTTGGTTCATTTTCCATTACAACCTCTCATGGACTGCATGTAAAACACACACACACACACACACACACACACACACACACACACGTTTATAAGCTGTTATTATGACCTAATATCTAACAGTCAATAATTCAGCATCAGCTCCTCTCTTCCTGTGACTCTGAAGCTCTTCCTGTTCACGTTGCATTTGAGGACAAACTCAACGTGTTGATAATAAACAAAGTTATTTACGGAAATATTAACTAAGAATAATTTTCTGTGGTTTTCTGCAGGATTATCTGGGCTGCATCATCGACTGTGGCTCTCTGCCTCTGAAACCAGAGCAGGTCAGCACTCTGTTCTGCAACATAGAGGACATCTACGAGTTCAACAGGTAACACACCAACACACACACACACACACACACACACACACACACACACACACACACACACACACACACACACACAGAAAGGATAGTGGAAACACACAAAGAGGCAGAATCCTCAGAGAGAGAGACAGGTTGTGATTCTGTGTCACGATACTTTAGGGTATAGCTGGTACGTTCACATGTACCCAAAACAGCCTGGTGCAATGCATTGTGGGGGATTTGAACAATTCTGCACATCAGTCAGTCAAGAGGAGAGAAAGTTCGATGATTGTGTGAAACTCAAATCCCTAAGAGCACGGGAGAAAAGACAAAGAGAGGGAGGGAACCAGTGTGTGTGTGTGTGTGTGTTTGTGTGTGTGTGTGTGTGTGTGTGTGTGTGTGTGTGTGTGTGTGTGTGTGTGTGTGTGTGTGTGTGTGTGTGTGTGTGTGTGTGCAAACAGTGCTTGAAGGCGACGGGATGGTGGGGGGGGGCAATGTGCTTCGAGAGCCTGGGAAGGAAGCTGTTAAAATATGTCACACGCACACACACACACACACACACACACACACACATACACACACACACACACACACACACACACACACGAACAAACACGCACACATATAACCATCCACCCTGCTGAGAGTCCTGTTTTCACACTTCACTTTCTTTGTGTTCCAACACGCACACACATACATGCTGCTCACACACACACACACACACACACACACACACACACACACACGGGGACACACACACACACAGGGACACACACACACACACGGGGACACACACTGAGGAAACAATGTCTGGAGCACACAGACTCGAACAGTAACAGTCAAACACAGTTTTCATTCCATCGCTGCTTCCTGCCCCTGGTTCTCATGGGAAATATTGTATGAGAGAGGGGGAGAGAGGGGGAGAGAGGGGGGAGGGTCCTTACTCTCTCTGCCTCTGCCATTAATTAGGTTTAAGTGAATGAAGTTAATTAGTTCTTAACGAGGCAATTACAGATCTCAGAAATCCCCTCAAGCCTCCTTTAACCTCCTACTCTCTCTCTCTTTCTCCCCCATCTCCCTCTCTTTCTCCCTCTCTTTCTCTCCCCCTCTCCCTCTCTTTCTCTCCCCCTCTCCCTCTCTTTCTTTCTTCCTCACTTTCTCTCCCCCTCTCCCTCTCTTTCTCTCTCTTTCTCTCTCTCTCTCTGAGGTCGTGCAGAGTTTCTGACCTGGTTTCTCTCTCTCTTTCTTTGTCCGAGAAAGGAGAGAAAATAAGAAAACCCCCTTGTCCTTGTCCTGAGACACACACACACACACACACACACACACACACACACACACACACACACACACACACACACACACACACACACACACACAGTTCCAGATGGGCAGACATAACAAGCCCAGAGTGACTACATCATCCAGCATAACTCAAACATGACACCATTTAGCACGGTGTGTGTGTGTGTGTGTGTGTGTGTGTGTGTGTGTGTGTGTGTGTGTGTGTGTGTGTGTGTGTGTGTGTGTGTGTGTGTGTGTGTGTGTGTGTGTGTGTGTGTGTGTGTGTGGATAATGAAGTGCATTAACAACAACAGCTCACTGATTGAAATGCTTTAAGTGATGTTTGAATAGAGAGGTTTTTAATCCAGATGTTGAGAAATCTGGTGAACCAAACTTCAGTTTAAAATCTTTATTGTTTACAAGTTTGAGGACTAAAGCTTTCTTTGTGTAACATCTGTAAGAAGCTTAAGTATTAGTTACACTTAATGATATGCTGGATACTGCATCATTATTGTTAAATACATCCTAACACCGTGCAGTTTATGACTCAAAGTCCTCATCAGGAAATACTATGTGTGTGACACATTCTCATTTTAAGACTCTTTATTAGTTATGTACTCTAGGTACTTGTAGTTAAGTATTTTCAGTGTTTGCTACTTTCTACTCAACTTGATTTATTTGAAAGCTTTACTTTTCAGATTATTAATACAAACAAAATGAGCAAGCAAAAATGATAATGTATAGCTGGAGATTAAACTACCCAGCAGTATATATACACTTTGCTTCACTTTTACCTGCTGCAACATTTAAAAGTTAAGGTAAAAAATGTAACTAAAATACAAGAAAATTATTAATAATATATCAGACAAATATGGGTTAAAAAAATCGGAATAATATGTTTGTAAAAAATAAAAAACATAATTTCAATGAACTCCGGCTATAAACTGATGAACGAATGAATGCCTCAATAACCATAATACGTATAATATATATATATGTATTTCTTCATAAGGAGACTTTGCTACTAAGTGTATTTTGATGCTGACACTCTTCTCCTTTATGAATTCACTTTCAGTCAGACCTCATCATCCTCTCTTTTTACCCATGATGCACTGGGCCGAGCCCCACGCATTCTTCTTTCTCGCCTCTGAACTTTTTTCTGTTTTCTTTGCTCTTTGATATTTTATTTTCTCTGCGTGTGTCCTCACATTTCTCCTCTGCTGTGATTCACGATTCAACCTTTGACCCCTCCTGTGCTAACCAGGGGCCACACACACACACACACACACACACACACACACACACACACACACACACACACACACACGTACGTATGTTCTGCTATGCTTGTGGGGACCCTGGTATAAAACATAATGGCAGAACATAAACCTGACACCAGGTCTGAGGGGCGGGAGGAAGATAATGTCCTCTGATGTCTTCATATAACTGTGTGTGTGTGTGTGTGTGTGTGTGTGTGTGTGTGTGTGTGTGTGTGTGTGTGTGTGTGTGTGTGTTACATTATCTCATATCTTTGTTTTAGCTGGGTTATGGGTTTTTATTTATCTCAGGATCCCTCCTTGGAGATAAGAGTTCAGACTGAAACCATCATACCTCAAAGACATCTACGATATTTATTCAGCAGAAGAAGAACGATGATTCCTGGGAGGGGGGTTTGGGAGGGGGGGGGGGATGATGATGCAATATGCTTTGGCTTCATTTATAAGTGCATAACGTCAATATAGTGAGAGAAATGTTATGGAAAATAGAAGTGTTGCATGAACCAACAGACTTAAATACAATACAAATATCCAAAATATGCACACATTGGGACAGTATGTCTGCATACAATATTAGAGATTTGCAGTAGTTTTATGCAGACATGTGCAAAATTGTCTAATGTCCACAGTATGAAGTAAAACAATTAACATGCAGTGATCAGACATTGGATATCCGTTAATGTAATGAATGGAAACGGATGTGAAGATATTCATGTTGGGGGTCTGGTCTTGTTAATATGACGTTTTGTAGTTTTGCTGACAGTCTGTTAGACATGTTTCAGGGGAAGAAGCAAACTGCATACGGCAAAACGCTGTATCTAACTAATCAGATACATGACATAATAATAATACATGTATTTATATAGGCTATACGTTGCAGTAACGTCTTGACAGGCGAGGTTACATGCATGGCTCTAGAAATATATAAATATACCAATAAAGTATTTGAAGTGGACTTAACTGCTGTAAATGATTCAAGTAAACCCTGTTCAGTTTGGGCATGTTACGCCTATATCTGATGATGATCAAATACAAATGAAACCCAGAGAGGTGCAGCAACAGAGCGGTGCAGGGATGACGTATATTTGTAGGCCGACCCTGAAGGAAGCTGCTGGTTCCCTCGACAAAAAGCAACGGGATTTAAAAAAAATAAGGTCTGTGTAAAACAAACCTGTTTGATCAATGCACGTTTTGTTCAGCCGGATAATCTCCACATGTCTAGCCTACTTTTATAATGTTCGAATCATAAATCTAATGTCCAGAAGCAAAATGCTAACGTGATGCTATAAAGGAACTACAGGCGAGTCCAGCAGCACGACTTCAACGTCACGCCGACTTAAGATCCATATTCAAACACACAGATTCTAAATGGAACGAGTTGAAGCGTTTGTTTGAACAGTTTGCAGGAGGCAGGGACTTGCTTTCAAGCAGAACAGGGCAAACTAACTTAGAGGAGTGTTTACGTGTTCGGCGTAATGACGTACAACGGCCTCCACGACTTCTGTAGTCCTATTCAGCCACTTGGTAACAACCATCGTTTTTCAGACACGTCAACTCTTCAGAAATCACCAGTGGGGTCACTGCTGATGGATTTAATGTCCTAGAACAAAACGTGATCCGTCTCTTCAATGTGTCTCAACCACAGACCTTATTTCAGATATTTTACCAAATCCTATGGAGAGATCCCATTGGCTCTGAGACCAGGGAACAGGAAGTGGTGAAATGCTGACTCACTTCCAGGTTTTAGGACTCATCACTGCACCACTCTATTAGGTATTTGAAGAGGACTAAACTGCTGTAAGAGATTCATGTAAACCCCGTTCAGTTTGGGCATGTTACGCCTGTATGATGATCAAATACAAATGAAACCCAGAGAGGTGCAGCAACAGTCATTACTACACCTCTTTTCCACTTCTTCATCTAAGTTGTAATTGCAAAAACAAAACCGTTTGAGGAGGTGTCGCGCTTCTGGCAATTTACTCGGAAGACAGACTTGTCAGAAGCATTTTGACGGGTGATTAATCGCCGCAGCGAGCGTCACTTGCCACTCTGATCCACTGTCCCCCCCTCACACACACACACACACACACACACACACACACACACACACACACACACACCCACACACACACACACACACACACACAGACACACACACAGACACACACACACACACACGCGTATCATCCATCAGACCTCCTTTCCATCAGGAGAGAGGAATTCTGGGATTGTTTCTCTGCTTCCTCACGCTGTCTGGTGAATCCACAGAGACTGGATTTTGGATAATGTGTCATAAAGTTTTGCAGCTGAATTTTCCCTTTTTGTTGCATCGGGTTGCATCTGTCCATGTGGCAAAGTTCCAATGCCTCTACGCCAAAAACCCAGAAGAGTTAGCAGAACAACGACGTAGAGGAAAAGGTGCCGATGTATTCCTCCGAACATCAGGGCAGGAGTTTAAACGTCTCA